GTATCAGGAAGAGCCCTGGTGTGTCTACTATTGTCCTTGTCACTGGGGAGTGCAATACTTTGCCTGAATTCCTGATAGTAACCCTTCAACAGCATTTCTCACTTTGCTGGTTCTGTTTTTAATGAAGACAAACCTTTGCTGCCTCCAAAGTATCTTTGTGTGCATACGAATTGAATCTCTTTCTTGCTGAAGATAGTCCTTTGTCTCCTCTCATAAGAGTTAATATTGGGCTTGGCTATTACTTAGCCATGGGACTAAAATCTCAGGTTTAAACACAAGAATTCTTTATTTAGGCGATGTCCTTGTTCCTAGAATCCCTACTCCCTACTGCAGTCCCTGTAAGCTGCCTTGAGGGTTGTCTGTATCTGTGGTCAGCATTGTGTTCTGACTAAGACACTTTTCCATTTTCTTCTCTTCCACCTTTCTCTATTGGGTGTTGGCTGGACCCTGGAAACTGTTCCCTGATCCTAAGCCTTTTTCGTTCTTTCCTGAAGCTCCCTTCCCACCATGTGGCTACCTGCTATTATGTGGCTAAACTCCATGTCTGCTTAACTCAAAGAGAATGGCTTTTCCCCCCTTTATCCTCTTCATTCTCTTTCTCGGAGCCTCTACTGAGACTTTCACCTTTGCCTACATTGGGAATTTCCTTTTTGAAATATTTTCCAAACATAATATTTTTCTTGATTATTTGGGAATTTCATACAATATCTTTGAGCTTCCAATGAAATATATTCATAAATTATTCTACTAAGGAAGCTAACACCTAATAGAGATCTTGATTTCCCCTGCATCATCTGGTGAACACTGAAGAGATTCTTCCAAACTTCTGGCTATATGTGTGCCTGTTCATAGGTGTGCCTGTATATGCAATAATGTGCATAAAGGAGGTCAGAGGTCATGATGGATATCTTAAGCGGTCACTCTCAACTCTACTTATCGAGAAAGGGTCTTTCATTGGATCTGGAACACTCTAGTTCAGTCAGCGGTATGGGCACATACTGTCACACACAGCTTTTTAAATGGGTTCTAGCACTCAAGCTCAGGTCCTTCTGCCCACATGGCAAGCACTCTGCTCATAGCCTTCTCCCAAGCCCTACTAGCAACTTCCTTTTCATTTTCTTTTTTGGCACTCATATTCTCCTATTGGTCTCTTCCATTGCTAATATAGAATATTCAGAAAACACACAGGTCACATCTAATGCACCGGGTGGAAATTTTTTTGTTTATATGTGTTTGGTTTTTGGTTTGAGTTCTACAGGTGCTGTCGAGGCAGATATTCCCTTAGAGTCTACTGGTTTTCCTCAATTCAGCTTTTAGCCACTATGGAAACTTTAACTAATGGTCATTAATTGTGTACTTTGGAGTGTGCGTAAGTGTGAATGTGTGTATATGTGTGTGTATGTGTAAGACAAAGGACAACCTTGACTGTCATTGTTCAGTCACCATCCGCCTTGTCTTTGGAGACACTTGCATGGAACATGTTAAGTAGGTTTGGCTGGTTTTGTCTGGATCCATAGCTCTTCCCGTCTTCAGTCCCCCCTTGCTCAGATTACAAGCATGTGCCACTGGCCCTGGCTTTTTACCAGGATTCTGGGGAGTTGAAATCATATCCTTGCATATACAGTAAACACTTTGTATACAAAGCTACCTCCCCTCCCCAATGGGCCATTTAGAAACAGAAAAATTTGTGTACTGAAAGATTAGCACCTACCGTAATGGTTTCTGATAACATTTATTGAGGAATAAGAGGGTTTCCTAAAAGGAAAAGGGAATTTAGGCTGTATCAATACAATGGTTGTCTGTCTATCTGTTTGCTTGATACAAGGTTTTGCTCTGTAGCCTGAATCTGCCTCATATTCATGGATACCCTCCTCCTTCAACTTTGGTGTGTCTTCATATGCAACTTTCTCCAACTTAATTACTAAAAATATCATTTTCAGAAATAATAAGTGCTTTTAATTTCTTTGGATTTATTTGCACTTATTTTTTTTCTAAATACCTTCCTATGTTTCAGGATTCATTTCAATAGATGATTGTCTTGCATCTTTACTTTTAACTAAGAAAAAAATTAGAAATGTTGCTAGAGGTAAGACAATCTTTATCAGATGGCCCTAGGCCTCTGGGAAAGAAGGACTGACAGCCCAAAGTTACACAGATATTAATTTCTGGCCATACTGCAAACATTTACCCAGTTCATTTCTAGGATTCATGTTTTTTATGAAATATTTACATTTTTATTTTGTGTGTGTGTGTGTATGTATGTGTTTATAAGATTACATTTGTGTGGTTGTGTGTGTACTACAGAATAAATGAATTAATGTGGAGGTTAGAGGAGAAGCCATAGCAGCTTGTTCTCTTCCTCCACCATGCAGGTACCAGGAATAGAACTCATGTCATCAGGGTTACCTGCCATGTTCTCATGAGCTATCTCACTAGTTCAGTGTTCTTCGAAGTTAGGTGAATGCTCAGATGCTGGCTGGGCGTTATTTCCCTTTCATGGTCATTAGAAAACAACAGTAGCAACTTATTTCATGTGTTTGTCCTCCCATGATTTTGGTGTGTTCTGTGATGGCTACCCATACTAGTTGACATTCACATGTGTGACGCACATCAAAGTCACTGCATAGATGCTGAAGATCATGATCTTCCAGGCAAGCACTTTACCAGTGGAGATACCAAGCTTTAGCAAGAATATATGAAGCTTGTTAAGTTCAGTTTAGGGCAAATACCATGGCACTTTTATGTACCTCTGCTTCAGAAAGTGTACATGAATACATGAGAGAGTTCCATGAACACAAGTGTAACCTTGAATTCACTCCAAAGTATAAAAAAATTCCAGCTCTCTCAGGCTTCATGACTTGACTGGTAATGAATTATGTGAAGGGCCCCTCATACTTGATCATGACGAACGGTAGCTTCATATTCCTGGAATGGGGCATTAGTCACAGGGGCAGAAGTCAGCTAAGGTGACAAGCTTGTACTCTATCTTGAACGATGTTAGGAGCCACTGAAGTGTTTTAAGCATTGCTAGGTGACATAATTCAATGCACACACACTGCTCTGACCTATGAGATTTTTGTGTGAAGTATCAGACAATTTTTTTTTATGCCTAAGATGGTTAATGTGTCTCTTAAGCCATCACCTTTACATTCTTGCATTTGTTAGTGTTGGCTTAGTGAGATTAATATTTATCAAGTGTACAGCTCAGTTAAAGATCCAGATTATGTGACCCCTGTGACCTCTACCTGTTCCTGTTCCTGAGCTAGCATGTGTGGACCTCTGTGTCTGCCCTGGCCTGTAACATCAGGACACAGGGTAATGGTGTTATCTATGTCTCTATCCCTTGGAGAAAACATACTTGTATGTCAATAGATTTGTAAATTTGCACTTCTTAGGTGTAAAAGGATGGAACCTGCATACAATATTCTATCAATTACTTTCCTAAGCTTGGCATACATAAATGTAAAAAAAAAAAAAAAAAGTCCGTTTTGGAAGGGTGATATCTCAGTTGTTAAAATGCTTGCTTTGCAAGTATGAGGACCTGAGTATGATTCCCAGAACATGACAAATCAGGCATGATGTGCATGCGCACTTGTAAACCTCATGATGAGGTGTTGACAGACAGCTCCTTAAGGCTTACTGGCCAGGCATCCTAGCCAAACAGGCAAGGACAACACCAAGTTGTGACTAATAAGAAACAACCACTGATGTTGACTATTGACATCATACACAAACACACAGATGCATACACACACACACACACACACACACACACACACCAAGACAGTGTCCTCATATTTGATTGCTAAACAGACTCTAATGAAATATATGTTTATGTTGAACCCTGCGGGCCATTTAGCGATATGCTAGATGTGGTGATGCAATGTCACATGACACACAGCGTAATTATTAGAGGTTCTTTAGCACATTCTAGAAGATTGACCAGTGTGTTTGTGATCCCAGCTTACTGCATCATGGGGATATAGGGGAAGCATATAAATCAGCAAAGACCAGGGACACACACATACATAGGAGGGGAGATTTTAGGATAGATGTATCCCAGAGATAGGCTTAGAAGAATGAATGAATGAATGAATTATAAAAGTAATGGTGTTTTATGGTTATCTTTTACTGTCAACCTGACACAGGCCAAATTACCTGTAATGAGAGGCTCAAGGGAGAATTGATTATACTGGATTAGTCTCAGGACATGTTACAGGGGATTGTCTTAATAAGTTAGTTGGAGTGGTGCCCACTGTGGATGGCACCATTCTCTAGACAGGGTGTCCTTGTTTTAGTTAGGTTCCTATTTCTGTGATAAGGACCATAAGTAACGGGCTCATTTCAGCTTACAGTTGTTTCATCATGAAAGGAAGTCTGGCAAGGAACTCAAGACATGAACCCTGGGGCAGGACCTGGAGGGAGACACTGCAGCTTTGCTGCTTACTGTCTTGCTCACACACCTTGTCTAGCCTGCTTTCTTATGCTACACAGAACAGTATTCTGAGGGGTGGCATTGCCTCTCAATGAGCTACACCCTTCCACCCCAATGGTTAATAAATAAAATGCCCTAATGAGTTCCCTACACTGCAGTCAAATGGGACATCTTCACCTTTGAGGTTCTCCTTAAATGGAGAAATTAAGCAGTGTATAATAAGCAAGGCAGCAAGGATACATATGTGCATTTGTTCCTTAAGGTCTTTGACTGTGAATGTGATATGACTAGCTGCTTCAACTTCCTGCAACTGTGAGTTCCCCCAATGATAGACTGCAACTTTTTCTGTGAGCTAAAGTAAGTCCTTTCTCCAGTATGCTGCTTTTTTGTCAAGATATTTTATCATAGCAACAGAAATGAAACTAACATAAGGTATTAAGTCCAGAACGCTGATCTGTACAGGAAGGGGAAGGAAGAAGCCTGAGAAGTAGACTTAAGTATGAGCTACTGACCCCTGCAGAAGGATATTAAGAGCCAAGTAAAGTATGCCTTTCTTTCTTTCCAGCCATCTATGAGCAATCGTGTGAGGTGTACAGACACCTTGGGAACAAGGCTGGCTTCTTCTACGTGGACACTGATGGCAGCGGGCCACTGGGACCTCTCCAGGTGTACTGCAACATCACTGGTAAGGACCGTGTTCTCCAAGCATGCTTTACCTGGGTAGGCAACTGCTGTTATGAAATGGAAAGGGACACCTGAGTGAACAAAATCTTACAGGACTAGCCCCAGTGGGGGAACAATATTGACAAATATTAGAAAATAGCTGAGTAGCTAATTTCAAGAAAGATGGTAGAGGGAGCTTGGTAAGGGTTGTGACATTATTACCTGAATCACCCACTGTTCTCTGTAGGGCTTGCCAAGGTCACCTTCTCTTTTAAAATTCAACAACATAAAAAAAAAAGGAGATAAGAAAAAAAACAAATAACAACAACAACAAAAAACAAACAAACATAAATCAAGGCATAAAAGTCAGTGGGAAGTCCTGATTCACAAAGGGGAAAATTCATTCATAGATGGCTCTGTGAGCTATGAATCTAGGTGAGTCTTACCTTCTTGAGCTTCAGGGGTTCACCCGTGAAATGGGAATGAGATTGTTACACCAAGGAACTGTGAAGATCATAGATAATCGGGTGTGTTGAAGCAGCAAGTGAGGACCTACAAAACACAGGCCTCTCCTTAAAAGGGGAAAGAGATTTTATTCTGGAACCAAATAACCAAATAGGAGTGAGCAAGTGTAACCTGAGAACACAGACGAGGTCGCAGGAATCCCATGCTCCATCATGCTAATAGTTTCATAATGATTTATTGTACATCAGGAAACTTTTCTGTATACCAGTCAAACGCGAGGTCGGAAGACTTCAGGGGAGCTGACTGCCTCTGCTCGCAGCCTCACATGCTATCTGATGGCTCTCTCAGACGTTGGGTTCCTGAGGTATAGGGGTCATTTCATGTATTTCAGAGAAGAGACTTGCGATAATGCTCATTGTACACAGAGTTTGGTAAGAAGTTATTGTTCAGTAGGCCGAGGTTTCCCAAGGTAAATGCGCACTGAATCAGTTTTGACTTGTTCCCAACCATCGAAGTTCTAGTCAGTTAGCTTTGTACACTATTCAATATGGGCACAGCTTCTTTTTCTGAGAGTTATAGTTCCCTTGAAAATCATCATCATTACTATTATCATTATCATCCTCCTCCTCCTCATCATCAGGGGAAGTGTTTTCTGTGGACTGCCCTGAGAGCATGTAACTTCTTTATAAATTAATTGCATGGGCAAATGAGGTTGAGCAGGTAAAGGCCCTTGGTGCTAAGTTCAATAATCTGAGATTAATCCCTGGAACCACATGGTAGGAGGAGAGAACTGATTTCAACAAGATTCCCACAGATTCACATTGGTACACATGTGCTCTCCCCACAAGCAAAATGGCATTTTGTGATCAACTTATTCTATAATATAATTTCATAGTGCCAAACATTCAAACATTGATGTGATAGGTTTTTAAACATTTAGCTTTGCCAGTAGTTCTATTATGACTGACTATCAATAATTGGCACTTCTCTTTCTCTCTCTTTCTCTCTCTCTCTCTCTCTCTCTCTCTCTCACACACACACACAGACACACACACACATTTCAAGCCTTGGTCTTCCTAGGGTGAGATGTACCACATCCTGAAGCAGCAGTCAGACCTATCACATCTCCCTGAGCATTTGCTCTCCAGGCTCTTTTTCAATAAGGCAGCATGCCTGTGGATCTCTTTTAGCCAGATAGTGTCCAAGGCACTAGGGACAGGCAGAGAAATGGCACCATGGCTGTCCACGAGACAGGGATGCTGTAGCCATGAGATGCTGTAGGCAGAGGGATCACCTCAAGAAGTGGTGACAAATCATACTCGATTGATTTTCCAACTGAGAGCCAAGAAACACACAGGCCAAAGAAAGGGCTAGCATTTTCCTGTTGTGGGTTTTCTCCTTTCTTTTTTTGTTTGTTTGTTTTTCATAGTACTGCATCTATCAAAGAGTGGTTGCATGCTAGCTACTTTGTAGTTGCCTTAGAGCAGGAATAGAAATTGTATTCTTTGCTGTTCTTGGTTATTGTTACCTAATCCTACTCAACAAATTTAGTCTAGGACTGGGATTGTCAGTGTCTCTTGGTTCTTTGCAAAGCATAACTCACACGTGGATTCTTAGTGAAGAAAAAAATCATAATTCTGGGCTAGCCTTGGAAATTCCAATTCATTAAATATACTTGTCCTAAGATTTCTAAGGTGTTTAGATGCTTTTTGCTTTCCAAAAAGAGGTGTTTGGGCTAAAGGAGAAGACAAAGGAGACAAATGCCTACTGCTGAGCAACAGGTGTCACATATATCCAGGAGTTGTGGGATGGCTGCCAACGACTGAGCAGAGACATTTCAGGGAGTTTAATTGGAACTTATAAATATTATCATTGTTAATTCTACCAGAAAAACTGTAAGCAAATAGCTCGGTTATTCTAGGTCCTGCCAGGCTGGCAGTTAGTACTAACCCTTACACATATGAAATCCCAATTTCCCTGAACCAGGCAGTCTTAAAAGAGTGGTCTGATGTTATGGTTATGTAGTGATCAGAGAATTAACCCTTACTTATGCTATAGTTGTCCACATGCTTGATAGCAATATGTCCATCCTCACCATAAGAGGTAGAATAACAGCCTTCACTGGTTCTCTTTGGCTATGCCTTTCCCAAGTCTCTAGGAGTCTGGAGAGAAGTTTTCTGGAACACGTATCTAACAGGGTGATGGGCAATCAGAAGAGTATGCATCTTTGGCCGCATTTTCCTTGGAATTTAGATTATATTCAATTTGTACAATCTTTAAACATTTTCCTTAGGTCTTAGTTTGTAGCCAATTTGTGCATTTTAAATGGTAATAGACACTTGCTTACCCATTAAAATATATTTATTTCCCAGCTGTACAATTTTTCTGATGTTAGTAAATTCCACACTTATATGCAAAATTGTTTGTGTAGAGTCACATATAAAACACATGCCCTTCCTGTTTTGATAGAACCAATGCCAGCTTCACATATGTAGGGCAGTAGACAAGAATTACAGGGAACCTTCAGGAACGTCTCTAAATCAAACTTCTTTTCCATTCTCAAATAGTTCCCAATCCATTTCCATGCCACCTTTATAGTCTCCCTATCTTACACCCTGGCTATTATGATGCTCCAATTCTCTCTGCTTTGACAGCAGCTTCTATTTTCATTAAAACTCATCAAAGCGTGCATAATGGAGTAGATAGAGGATTGTGATTGAGGTCTCTTCAATATTTCCAGCCATAATTGTGAAGTGTGATTGCAGGTAATAGATTATAATCCGAACTATTGACGGTAAGAAAGAACTGTATCTACACAGTTTGGACCCGGTTGTTAGCCTTGCTTCCTGAACTTAGAGAAGTGGCTGAGATTTACTCCTTGGCTACACACCTGACTGTCAGTGTAAGGTGAATGAAAGTTGTTGAGAACATAAGAAGGGGACACTCATGGGCATTACTTTCTCCTCACACCTTGAGTGTACTACCAGCATTGGACATATATGTTAAGGAACAAAGCAAGTGGAACTCGGGCGTGTCATGGTATTTGTAATGCACTTTTGTGCTGGGATTTCTTACTGACTTCATCCCCAAGCAATCTACTTCCAAGATACACACAGACACACACTCATGTATATATGCAGTCACACTCAAGCATACACATTACAATGAAGACACAGATTACACACACAAACATACACAAAACACAGATGGTTAAACACACACATCTATACACATATGTGTAAGGGTATACATAACATAAAGAATACACACTTTTTATTTCTAAATGACTGACACAAGAAAAAAATATGCCATTATCTCAGATTTCTATTTTTTAAAACCATCTGTTGCTTAGTTATCACTGCAAGATGACTGTTTTCAAGGTGCCAAGAGTACGGCACAATCATTAAGGTACTTGCCTTGAACATGAGGATCTAGTTTTGATTTCTAATACATTTTCAAAAAATCCAGAACTGCTAGCATCTGCTTATAATCCTAGCACAGAAGGGACAGAGTCAGGTGAATCGATGGGGCTCACAGGCCAGTTAGTTTAGCCCACTCAGCAAGGTACAGAGCAATGTGAGACTTGGTCTCAAATAACAAGGTGGACATCCTATATCCTAAGGAATGGTATTCCAGGCTGTTATACAGCATCAACATACATGTTCATACATGTGCACATGTGTACTTACACACACACACACACACACACACACACACACACAGAGTACTGTTGCCAAAAACTGTCCCTTGAGTTGAGAGCATATATTGAATATACCAAGTATTCACCCAAGGAAGCATACATCTTTGAAGGAGCTGATATAGTTTCCATTTCATAAATGAATTAATAATACTGAGTAGTAGAAACAGGATAGCAACTACTACTATCTAGAATTGGAACATTTGCTCTATGTTCAGTGGGTTTTTTTTGTTTGTTTGTTTGTTTTTGTCACAGAAGGCCATAATTTTAAATTGGTATGTGTTCATATATATTAGACTCTAGTAAAGTGATGATGAAGGATGAGCCACCTAGAATGAAGAAACAATTTTTTATATTTGGGGATGGGATGGCTTAGTCTGCAATATCCCTGCTATGTATGCACAGAAACTGAGTATGGATCCTTCCTCTCCACATATAAACCAGGGGGAGGTGTATAAAAATATGTAATATCCATCCTGGCAGATGAAAAAATGCAGGTCTGGAGATCTCATTGCCTTGCCAATATGCTAATCAGTGATGCAGATTTGTTGGGAGAGTGTCTCATAAATCATGATGGGAAACCCTATCTGCCAATTGCCACAACACATGCATGCACACACTTACACATACTCCCATGTGTAAATGTGCACATCCCCCAACACACACACACACACACACACACACACACATACACACACACAGATCATTAATAAATCTCTAACTTTGCTTCATACTGGCTAGTACTGAAATCTTTTCTATGACAAACCTAAACATGCCACTTGGTTCCAAACTGATACCATGAAAAGAGTAAGGGAACTCCTCAACTGCTGATGGTGACAGGGTGGAACTGAGCCTCTGTC